TGCCCTGCCAGCTCCCTGCCAGCCCTAACGGTGCCTTTTCTCTCCAAGGGAAGAAGCGATGCTGTCCACCTACTTCGAAACCATCAATGACTTGCTCTCCTCCTTCGGGCCCGTCCGCGACTGCTCCCGCAACAACGGCGGCTGCACCCGCAACTTCAAGTGCGTGTCGGACCGCAAGGTGGACTCCACGGGCTGTGTGGTACGTGCTGGGGCCGTGGCGGAGGTGCTGGGGCTGTGGGGTAGGTGCTAGGGGTGTGGGGTGAGTACTGAGGCTATAGGGTTGGTGTTGGGGCTCTAGTGTAAGTATTGGAGCTTTGAGGTACATACTGGGGCTGTGGGGTTCATACTGGGGCTGTGGGGTAGGTTCTGGGGCTGTGGGATAGGTGCTGGGGCAGTGGGGTTCATACTGGGGCTCTGGGGTTCATACTGGGGCTGTGGGGTGAGTGCTGCAGCTGTGGGGTGAGTGCTGGGGCTGTGGGGTGAGTACTGAGGCTATAGGGTTGTTGTTGGGGCTCTAGTGTAAGTACTGGGGCTTTGAGGTACATACTGGGGCTGTGGGGTTGGTACTGGGGCTGTAGGGTTCTCAGGGCTGTCCTCTGGTTTGGGGACAAGCCAGAGGGAGATGTGACCTGCTCCTGCTTCCTGTGGCTGAGGGGATGTGTGGGCTGGAGGTGGACTTCCCCCAGTCCTGGGGCCTTCATGGCAAAGCACAAATGCCTTAAGGACTCCAGGGAAGCAGCCCAGGTGCCCAGATGAGCAAATGAAAGAAAAAAAAAAAATTGAGGCTGGTGGTAATTTTCTTGCTTGTCAAGGAGCAGGGATGGAAAGCTGCCTTGCTTTTTCTCCTGCTTTGTGCTTCCCAGTGAGAAGAAAGATGGAGCATCCCCCCGCAACATCCATCTCTGGGCATCTCTGACACCCGCAGAGTCTTGACTTGTTTCTGAACATGCTGATGTCTTACCAAACAATCTACTGAGTCCCAGGTTTTGCAGAGTCTAGAAGATCTCCTAGACCCCAGACCATTAGTTTTGGGCAGCGGCTCTGAATCATAGAGTCCTAGAAGGGTTTGAGTTGGAAAGGACCTTAAAGGTCATCGTGTCCTAAGCCCTGCCGTGGGCAGGGACACTTTCCACTGGACCAGGTTACCCAGAGCCCAGTGCAGCCTGGCTGTGAACAGTTCCAGGGAGGTGTTCCCGGCACCAATGCCCAGAGGGGTTTTGTTGTGCTTCCAGCTGGGAGCAGCAGAGCTCAGCACCTCACCCAGACATCAAAGTCATCCTTTCCCTGCCTGAGGAGCCTGTGTGAATCCAGGATGATGTGCAGAGCCACAGGACAGAGCCTTGGGAAGTGGGGCAAACCTAGAGCATCCCTTTGTGCCTGTTGTTGAAGGCTCTGCCTGCCAGGAAGCTGTGGTGACCCCCGAGGGGGTCCAGAGCTGTCAGCCCCTCCAGCAGCCCCTCCACCACACATTCACTGCTACTAAACCCCTGGAACCCCTCACCTCACTGCAGGCAGAGCCCCTCACCACATCCCTCCTGTCTCAGCAGAGACAGGAGGTAAGTGTCTCTTTATTTATTGAAGATGTTTGTACGCGGCAGCTGGGAAAGGTCAGGCTGGAGCCGTGCTGTCCCTGGGGGAGGTGTTTTCATTATCCCCTTCTCAGGTTGCTTGTTAAGGCCATTTAGCATGACAGTCTGATGTGTCATCAGCAACCTGGTGCCATCTCCCCCTTGCTTCTCTCCCCTTCCTCCTTTCTTTTTCCATTGCCATTTTTTTCTTTGCCCCCTTTTTCCAGGGAACAACTGCCTTTCTAGTTTTTTGGGGCGTTTTCTCCCTTTTTTACAGTGCTATTTTGCTCTGAATGCCAACATCCTTGCCCAGGCACTGTCAGAAGCAATCAGGGCTCTGATCACCTCACGCCTCTGGGAAGTGGTGCCTCTTTTTAAAGTCAGGATATATTAGGATAGAAATTGTCAATAAATTACAGCCCTAGTGCTGGCATGTGGAGAGGCAGAAAAGGAAAACCGTGTCACCTGGGGAAAACAGACCCCAGCTTCTGTAATGCCTGACTGAATCTGTGTGTAAAGAGAATGGAGGGGACAAGGGAGGAGCAGCAGCTTTTTCCTGGAGGGCATCCCCTCCCCGAGAGCTGTGGCTGAGAGGTGACACTTGGGGACCACAGGAACCCCCATGCTACACATCACAGCAGGCTCCTGGGCCTTGCATCCCATGGGGACAGGAGACTGTCTCTCCCCACTGTGCTCTTCACTCCTTTTTCTCTCCTCTGCGGGAGCATGAGGCTGCTCTGTCCCTCTCCAGAGCTCCCAGTCTTGGGGTGAAGCTCCCCAGTGCCAGCCTGAGGACAGCAGAGCTGAGCTGCCCAGGGTGAGTGTGGGGACAGACACTGCATCCCAGCCTTTGTCTCCCTGCTTCCCTTTGGACTGACACCAGCCCATGCTGCTTCCCAGTTCTCCCAACCCTGTGCAGTGTTTTATTCTCATCACCTGTTGTCAGTCCCTGGCAAAGGAGGGGAGAGAGGAGAGGTGTGGAAGGAGCTGTCTCCATGTTTCTGACCATGCACCATGCCCACTGGCCAGGGAAAAGCCTAATGGATGGGCTGGCAGCACTGCCCCCAGCCCTGTGTGATGCTCATGGTGCTGAGAGGGATCAGAGGGGCTGGGAGTGGAGCCTCAGAGCTCACACAGGTTCAGTTTGAGGCATTCTGGTACTTTCTTTGCCCACTCCTGTGCTGTCCCTCCTCATCCCACTGCTGGTGCCTGCTGGGTGTGAGCTGGGCTTCCAGTGCAAGAAGGGATGGGGTCATGTGCTGCAAATTTTCAGGGATGTCAGTTAGTTTTGAAGCTGAACTGCTGTGAACTCAATTTGCCAATTTGGTAAGTGCTATGGGCAATATCGGGATGTAATTTAATTAAGCTATCCCCTTTTTATAGAGTTCAGGGAGCATTTGCCTACTAATTTTAGCACTAGGTTTGCTCCAGCTTTACTCTGGACACAGATTCACAAATCATGACATGTTGTTAATCTCTACCAGTCAACAGTTTATTAATTTGCTGAGGACCACAGAAGTATATAATCAGTGGTTCATCAATCAAGGCTAAATCCAACAAATGTTCCAGGCAGGTACTGAGCATAAAATATACATGCAGCCTTGTAAGCAATTAATACACCACAGAGCTGGAGCCGAGTGGCTCAACCAGGGAGCAGCACAAATCTCAAAGATTTCTTATTCCTTTTATGTATAATCATCATCTGTTACCAGTTCCTTCATGCCCTTAATATGGCTTCCAGTAATTCTGGGAGGACTGGGATGCATTTATCTCTGGGATTTTAGTGGTGTGGGCTCTGCCATTATCTAATTGTTTGGCCTTAAAAGGTCTTGGTTAAAAAGTTGAGGGTGGATTGTTCACAGCTCGTGCTGGAGCCTGGCTGAGTCTCCTTGGGCTGATGATGGGGAGGAATGAGTGAGTCACTTTGCTCACTTAAAATCCTCCTTTTTAGGCATCACCTGAAACCCTAAAGCCTCTCCAGCAGGGTTCCCACCCTCAGGGGTGGCAGCTCCCCACCTGCCCACCCCAATGGGATCCCTTTTTCCCCCCATCTCTTGGTTTTCTGTTGGTTTTGTGTGTACCCCGTAGATGGCATGAGTGCATAAAGGGTTTCTGCAGTTCTTTTCTTATCGGAGGCCTTTTTTATATTTAGGTAATTTTAAGAATTATCAGCTGCAACCTTGCCAAGACCTTGGCATCGCTATCTGGAGCCTTGTGTTTGAGTATTAACATAACCAAACAGCCCCCAAGCTCTAGAAAACCTGCTTCCATGCTGCTTTTTCTTGCTGCACTCTGGAACTGCTGATGGACCTGGTCAAGCTGTGGGAATTTCCCAAGCAAACAAAATCCCAGTGAATTTCTCTGAACCCAGTGACTCTGCATGTTGAGTCCTGTGTGTGTTTTGCACCATCTTGCAGGGATCACAGCAAACCAGGAGAAAGTGTGCTAGAGGAATAATTCAGACTATATCCTATAAAGGAAATATTGCTGATCTTTTCTGCTGGCACTGTGGTAGCTGCACAGCATGGAGGGAGGATGCTGAAGGAGGGAAAATGCTTAACCCTCGTGTGTTGGTGATTTATAATTTGAGATGAAAACCTGTGAATTGGCCCTGAGAGACGGAAGGAAACACCTGCATCATGGCTGAAATTCAGGTTTCCCCAGCTGTCTCTCAGATTGGCTTCGCTCCCTGGTGCCAGTCCTCTCACCCACCTGAGGAGCAGGGGGGTGCTTCCATGTACTGCCCCACGACCAGGTGCATTTTTGAGCCTAGAAAGGCAGGACTGCAGCCTTACTGAAAATAAAAAGGGTGAGCTGTTGTTTTTTTTTTTTTTTTTTTGTTTTTTTTTTTTGGTTTTTTTTTTTTGGTTTTTTTTTTTGGTTTTTTTTTTTTGGTTTTTTTTTTTGGTTTTTTTTTTTTGGTTTTTTTTTTTGGTTTTTTTTTTTTGGTTTTTTTTTTTGGTTTTTTTTTTTTTTTTGTTTCTCCCAGAGGAGTGGGAGCTTTGGTCTTAGCACATGAGCTGGGCAAGGAGGTGCTCTGTTCTCTCCCAGTGCATTTTGGCATCCTCAGCATCACTGCAGGAGGAGGCAGCAGCAGGCCCAGGTGTCTGAGCCCCACGGTGCCTCCAGGATGGGGGTCTCCTCACTGTGAGGACCACCTGGAGAAGCAGAAGGGCATGAGCTGCCTCACTGGGGGTGAGGAGGGCAGCTCGGGGTCCTGGGCCAAGAATTACCAGAATTAGTCCCTTGTTTGTTTAGGGTGTGGGAGCCTGACTGCAGTAGGGGGATAGGTGGTGTGGGCTGCTGGTTCTGCAGCATCTGTGTGCCTGCAGAGGTTGGTGAGTTAGTTCCTTAAGTCACATTAGAGTGCTCCAGGAGCCAGGGACGTTGCAGGTGGATGTGGAAGGGATAAAGCAGGGCTGTGCTCCAGGAGCCATCCCACCTTGGGAGAGGTGTTGGCAAGAGCTGGCAGAGCCTTGCCCAGCCTGTGCACTGGGTGCTGCTGTTCTGCACAGACATGAAACCCTGCTCATCCTCACAGGCTCAGTTGCCTCTGGCAGGGATTTATTTCTAGTCTGAGCAAGAAAACAGTGTTGTTAGCCTACAAGAATGACCTGAGCTGTTCCTCCCT